CGTATGTAATTCATTACTGTTATTGTCTTATGTCTAGTTGGTATTAATTTTTAAGTTAAGTACTTTAGGTTAGATGGTTTTGTAATCTTATGAGTTGTTTTATTTTGAGTGTGATGTGTTGTTTTGTTGTGTCTTATTGTTTTTGTTGGGTCTTATGTTTTTTGTATCTTATTGTTTTGTTCTGTCTCATTGTTTTGTTGTGTCTCATTGTTCTGTTGTGTCTTATTGTAGGACCACTGCCACCAGGTAAAAACCCATTTGCAGTCAATAATAAATAATAATAATAATAATAATAATAATAATAATAATAATAATAATAATAATAATAATAATAATAATAATAATAATAATAATAATAATAATAATAATAATAATAATAATAATAATAATAATAATAATCTTGAGTCGTGGGTAGTCCTTCACAGGCCCAAGGAAACTGGAAATCTTCTTCGGCAGAAGGCCCACAGACTTGATGTTATGCCTGGCCAGCAGCCTGCTGATACGGTTGAATGTCGTTGAAATGTTGGGCAGGAAGGCAACTGATGCTGGTCTCTCCGGGAGCAGTGTCACCCTCACTTGTGGGTTGAGGGTTTGTTGGATCTGCCAGTCGCTGTAACTGTTCTGCCTGAAAGTGGTCCTGAGTAACTCCAGTTCACCATGCACTTTCCTGGTCACAAAGGGATCTAGCCCTGTGCATCAGGGTGGAAAGTACAGCCTATTTGTTGGACGGGTAGAGGTGGAAATTGGAATTGAGGTATAGATTAGTGTGGGTGGGTTTGTGATAAACCTTGTGCCCAGTGAGCCATCAGGTTTCCAGTAAATATCAATATCAAGGAAAGGAAGATGGCCATCCTTTTCTGTCTCCATGGTGAACCTGGATGTTCTCATGGACAATTTTCAGATGGTTGAGGAACTCCAACAGCTTGCCTGGACCATGGGACTAGATGACAAATGTGTCATCCATGTAGCAAAACCAACAGAGGGGCTTGAGAGTTGCACCAGCCAAAGCCGTTTCTCCGAAGTGTTCCATGAAGAAATTGGCAATGACAGGTGATAGCAGGGAACCCACAGCCATCTGCTAGTAGAATCAGCTGCCATACCTCAAAAAGGAAGAGGTTAGTACATGTTGGAAGAGCCTGAAGTCCCCATCAAAGTGCTGTCTCAGCAGGGAGCACCATGAGGCCTGCGTTATTCTGCAGGGCCCAGAGGGCTCTTCTCTCAGCTCTAGACAGGTTGTCCTTCGGCTTCTAGCAAACAGTCCTCTCCACACCACTTAGGAAGTCCTCGATGGGCAGCACTGTAGGGGCCTCCACATAGTTCAAGCTTTTACCCAGGGCTGAATAGGCAGCATCCTCCAGTGGCCTGTCACTCAGGCTTATCACCGTTTTCTTGTTGTCGGTCAGCAGATAAGATATAAGATTTCAAGGCCTGAATGTTTCTTGGCTGTCTTGATTATGGTCACCTGAATTATGAATGCATACCAAAATTTTGAAGGAATGTACTGCTTCCATCTTCAGGGTGAAATGTAGGTCATTACATATGAATACAGACATATTGATTAGTTAAGTTATTTATTACTTCTCGTGCGGCTGGTTTTCCTTCCTCATAATCTCTCCAGTTCAGATCACACATTATCAATCTGCACATGTATTAGGCCCACTCACAAGTATCTTCCTTTCCACTGTTTATAGCTGTCATTATCAAAAATCCTAGTACACATATGTAAATGGTTGTGAACAACAGCACTAACAACACATTATTCTTATTTAACAATGGAGATTCTTTTTCAATCTTACCTTAAAATTAAATACGCTTCCATCTTGCACTCTTCAGAATTTTGATATGCTCCTTTCTCATAACTTCATATTTCATTTGGTATGAACACAAACATGAGAAGTTGCATTTCTCCCCATCCATATATTTTACCTGTGAACACATTTTAATTAAATTTGAGTACTCCATAGCACTAAAGCTTTTTACTCTTGTTATTGTTTAAATATTCTGGGAGTTATCCTCCAAATTAATCATTAAAACTGCAAAATAACATTAAAATAGATTTTGAAGAAATGGGATGTGAAAGTGTGAACTGTACTAATCTGACACAGGATATACTCTAATAGTATGTTCTTGTAAACATGATATTGTATCTTTAGAACCCATAAAATGCAGGGAATTTCTTGTCTAGTTTAGTGTCTGACATAGTTTAACCAACCCTGTCGGCTCTTGTGCCCTGTGAGGTGAACAGGGGCAACCTCAAAACTGAATGTGGGTCGACTATACTACTGAACTAGAAGTGTCAGATCGATGTCATTCTTTTTGTGTGCTGGTGTGGGATGTAAGTGGGCAGGATAGAGGGAGAGTTAGAGTATCTTGCCTGATTCTCACTAGCATAAGACCCTCTCAGACTGCCGGTTGGGTACAGTTCCTGTACTGCTGTTTCCCCTGAGATTTATAGGTAGCTATTTCATTGTTTATGTGTTTCAAATTGGTATTTTACTTGGTTGGGTAGGAGGTTCAATTGGGGAAGGAGTGGCCCTATCTCTCACCAAGGAGAGTTTGAGGCTGTATGTACTTTATTTAATTTTGTTTCCCTTATTTCCTTCTGAGTAGTTATATATATATTTTAGGGGCAGAACATTGTGTCCTTTTTCTTTTCATTTTAACCTTAAAGGCTTGAATGTAAACTCCATATGCGTAGCTTTACGACCGATTATTTTTCAAAGAATATATTTTGCATTCACATTTCTTTAAGAAACTTGTTGTTTATTTATCACCTGATGTACATAAGAGGGGTTCACCAAATGAAGTAATGACACTCAGAACTAGAACCTCCCCTTTTGATTTGTCTAAAGGGATGGTTGGGTTCATAGTAATGTGATTTATGGAGTTAGTCTTATAATCTTTTGTCATATGAATATTTTTGCAACCAACAATTCTGCATACTGTAATACATTATATAGATTATAACATGTCAATCTATTAAAAGTGCTACTGAAGATGGCTGTCTTTGCTGCCACTGTCATCACTGTTCCTTGATAATGGAGGCAGCAAGGACATCTGAAACACAGATAAACTTCTACCAGAATATATGGCACTACAACCCAGTAGACAGCCATGTTCAAACCCAACTGTCATGAAAACATCAAATGCTAAAACTGCTACTGGTTTACTATTGCAAAACAGAACAAAAGCATCTAAAACAGGGCAAAGTCCCTGTTATGAAGGACACTATGAAGACCTCCATGTGAGAGTGAAAACGAAGCTCCATGCAGTTTTTAACATTGACACTAGATGGAGGTGATCTTTCAACTCGATGCTTCATCCGTTACCCTGGGAAAAAGTTGTTGCTCTTCAATCTTCTTCTTATACCAGACATGTCATGGTCTTTTACATGGTTACCAAGATTTCAGAGGACTGTTATCACCTCCTATCCTTAGATATCTACCCACATGATCTTGGTGAGATGCTTCATGAAATGCTCATAATAATGTAGAAGAGTGCATAACCACACAACCTACAAGACAGTCCACATTTTACTCACAGTGAAGACCTCACCTCATAAATTCTAATTTTAAGAGAGACACAATTCATTGTTTTTAAGGACCAAATTCATGTGAGCATGTTCATGGACATGGTCCTCAAGGATTTTGTAGTTACACACATTACGAACATTCTTGATCTGATCTGACCTGACCGAAATTCAGTACATTCAACATTCGTTGTAGTGGCAAGATTGGAGGAATGTGATGTGAAGAAGAAAGAATAGAAAAAAAAGAGGTTGGGCTGGTTATTGGACCGTGCAAAAGTCACATGAATTTATTAACAAATATATACCAGTGTTTCTCAAAGTGTAGTATGAAAAATAATTTCAAGAGGTGCACAACGAAAAAGTAATTATCAAAAACTGTTCCAGACTTCTGCTGTCGGATGAACATTTTAATATCAAAATGTAATCAAATCGTTAATACTGATGAAATTCGTAACTTTTGTGTACATTTTTGCTTACGTCATAGCAACTGTTTAGTTCGTTCCAAACTCTCAATCACAATGTAGATCGACTGCTTGCGAGTTAATTGTCTCGAATAATTTGGACAAGTGTTTCAGTCCAAGACAACGAAAATGTTAAGCAAATGTTTTGAAGTTTGGCAAACACCAGCTTTTAGTAAAATAGGCCCAAAAATTTGAACAGTTGTTTGCAGATACCGTTGTAAGCCCACCTTTTCGGATCCTCGACACACAAATGATCAGAAATGAATTGATATATTCGATGCGAGACGACGTTCCTTGTAACACTCGCACAGAATTGCGACCAATACAATGTCAACAGCCACCAACGGGTAAAGAAACGCAGCTACGGTTGTATAAACTGTAGTCCGTGATAGAACATCAATTCCAAAGATTAATTCTAGGTCTCATGTGGTTGTATATTTGATCATGATTTTAATGGTATTGACAGGAAAGTTGTTGTGGAAACAGCTGTAAAGATACATTGTGTAGCTGTAAGAAGCTGTATTTCGAATGCTGGCTTGTTTATTGCCCTTGTATTTATCGTTCTACTTATTGAACTGCATCAATAATAAGAAGTCACCAATTCATAATGTCTAAGAGGTTAGGATAAAACGTTTGTTTGCATATTATGCATGGTAGAATTACGATGTGAACGCAGATGAATATAATTGTAAAAAACAGAATTGCGGACGTAGATGAATATAGATACAACCTTAATCAGTGTAACGTTTGGCACTTTCCAACAAATTACCTTTGTATAACTAATGTATATGTAAATTGTAACTTTTAGCGTGAAGATTGCACCAGGTGCTATGGTTTGCAATGAATGTGAATTACGTGGCGATATTACTATCGGTAGCATGACAGTGATCCATCCAAGAGCCTCCATCGTTGCTGAAGCTGGACCAATCATCATAGGAGAATGTAACATAATCGAGGAGCAAACACACATAATTAACAGGTTAGTAATGGACGTATTTTATCTAATCTGCATTTGAGTTCCCTATGTGTTGTGTAACTTGGCTGCAGAATATGCAAGCCTCTGCTTAGCCTGTTGTCATATGAAGTTTGCTTAGCTTGTTGGTGCTGCCTTAATGATTTATTGTTATATTTGTCATAATGAAGTAAATATACCAGTGACAGAAACCATCTTTCACTTGAATTTAATGATATAAACATACATATTTGAAATAAGTGTCATTTCATAATTAGATGGTAAACTGAAAACTTAGAATTTAATGTGATTGGCAAAAAACACAATAAAGGCTGTTTATTGATTCAGTATATATAAATATACAGAAAAATAAGTCATTTTTTTCACTAGAAGATGGTCTGTAGCAAGTAATTGCTTGTTGGTGAATGTTATGTTCAGTAAATTACAAGGGATCCTTCCTAAATATGGAAACAACAGCTTCATATATGTTTGTTGAAAGATACAAGAAGTTTGGAGTTTTCATACTTTTATGGTGCCTTGAGAAGGGTAAAATTGCACTGGAAGGGTTAACTTATCACCAAATAAAACTTCTCTGTGCTAACTAGCATCCAAAATATGAAGCAGCATATCCTACTTTAGATTTTTGTAGGCATATAACACTACTGGTTATCCACTCACCTGAATGCCATCTGCTGTACATTGTGTGATTTTTGTTTACATTGTCATATATATGAAAGTGTGTGCCACTTGCTAAATTTCTTCCTTGATTAATGTATTCCTGTATCCAAGTGTTCATCATGTGAACAATACTTGCCCTCGTTTCTGTTTTTTTAATTGTCTTGTTTAAAATATCACAGTGGTTATTTTTAATTATATTACTATTAATGGGCACAGTGAAATGTTAAGGTCACCATCACAAATTTGAGGTTAGTTTGGGGATACTTTGCATCTTTGTTTTGTACCACAGCAACTTTCTGATCATTCAGAATAATTGTGACTGCATAGTATGTATTGCGGAACAACTTTGTGTTGCATGATTTTTATTTTGCCTACTCCAGAGAAGTGTGTTGGCATAACATTGTAAAAAGAACCCTGAACATATATTTATCTCAGCTGCAGCAGGTCTGTGGACATTTGAGAAGTATGTGATATGCTTAACATATAGGTTTATTCTTTCTTGAAGCTAATGTTCATAAAGATGCCCAATTTGTTTCTTCTAGCCATGCCAGGTGTTTTGAAGGAAACCAAGCACAAGGCTGTACAAGAACTATTCAGAGGGAAGTTTAAAGGATTATATTGAGTTGGTAAAGAGTGGGAAAATATCTCAACAAACTGTGGCTAGTCACTACAAGATTCCTAGGAGAACCCTGAGATACAAGTTTAAGAAGATGCACATATAATAAAATAGGTAAACAATTAACAATTTTAGCAGTTGAAGAGGAGAAAATCTTCATCTGATGCACAATAGATAAGTTTCTTTGGATTTCAGTCAACAATATTGACTTAAAATGCATTGTCATTGAGTACCTTCAATCTGAAAGGATTGTGGCAGAGATAAAAACAATATGCCAAGTAACAATTGGGCTTGAAATTTTACAAATAGACATCCTGCACTGACTAACAGGTTTGCAACCAACATCAAGAAGCTAAGGGCAGCCATTAATGAAACCACTCTGGCATGTTACATCAGTAGCCTGAGAGAATTTACTGGCGTTTCATCGAAAAATATTTGGAAATGCAATGAGTCTTACTGGACATATAATCGAGATCAGAAGAAAGTTATAGTAAAAAAGAGGCTCAGAGTACTCGGAACACATTTGTAATGCTTCTATATTTTATTGTGACATTGCCACAAGAGAGCTAATTCCTCTCTTTGCTGTTTACAAATCAGCCCATATTTGGAACACGTGGGCTAAAGGTCACAAGATATAACAGCACTTTTAGTGGATGGTTTTATGGTGCAGCATTTACAGAGTGGTTTGAGTTCCTAATGCTTACAAAGTTGAAAAGCAGTATGGGAAGAAAGTGCCAACAGGTGACTGTCCTATCATGTAAATGAAAGGGTCATGAACATATGCAGAGTGAATACCATTAATTTTGTTTGCTTGCCTCCGAACAGCACACATTTAATGCATCCACTACATACTGCATTGTTTCACCTACTGAAACAGAAGTGGAGGGAAATTTTATGTCTACAAGAGCTGTCACTAGAGTATGAAAAACACCATTATCTGAAAACAAGCAGTCTCAAATGTATAAAGTGAAGCTTTCATGGCGACTGAAGGTGATGAAAGACTCTGAGGTTACAAGCCACGTCAGGTGGCTGAATGATGAATAAACCATATCTACTGCCAACATTTTGAGAACAATCTCTGCTCTCATCCTCAGGGCTGCTGCATAGCAAATCTGATACTATATAGTTCACTCGCTGATGGGAATCAGATTTGCTACGCAGCAGCCCTGAGGATGAGAGCAGAGATTGTTCTCGAAACATTGGCAGAAGATATAGTTTATTCACCATTAAGCCTCCTGATGTGGCCTGAAACCTGAGAGTCTTTCATCAAGAAGTCTCAACTCTCTTAAAAGCATAGCATGAGAGTATTTTGAATAATATGAGGAAAAAATTTAAATCTGGATTCAAGAAGTATGGAATCTATCCATATGGTGCTTCTCTACTTTTAGAAAGATTTGCTATTTTGACTAGCTCTATTCTGGAATAATGTCATTTCCAGTTTTATCAAGTACCTGAAGGAGAAAAGACTGAAAATTACAGGATTTCAAGATGAAGATCTAAAAAGGGTAAAGAAAACACTGAAGTTTAAAGCTGGCTGACAGAAGCATTGCACATGCCATGCAGAACTTAGATATGATGCCATCACTGTCTTCTTCCTGACCTCCTGACAAGTTCAAGAAAAAAGCAAGCAGGGGCAATAGAAGCAAACAAGTAAGCAAACATGTAAGAAGAAAGTGGAAGAAAGTTCAAGATATGTATATGAGTTCTTCATCCGAGAATGAAGTTGAATTATTTCCTGAATCCATAGTGTTGGATTGGACTGAGGAGGAGAATCTCATGATAAAAAGACGTGACAAGAAATAAGTGAAGGATCTCAAAAAATGTGTTGGATAGTTTGCTGTATTCAAGTATGAAAGTTAAATATTTCCCAGAGAGGTATTTGCGTTACAGAAAAGTGTAATCATAATCAAGGTGAAGCAGAGGTCATGCAGTTCATGGAAGTAGCCACAGCATGATGTGTTTGAGTATGCATGGTGTGACATGCTCAGTGGTATAAACTCACCAATTCAAAACAAAGGAATGTATGCCATTCCAGAGCTGGATAGCATTTGGTTACATATCTTTGTACTCATCATATGTTTAGCTTGAGTAACTGTTTTCTTTTTTAAAAAACCAGGTCACTGGTTTTTCTAGTCATAATATTGACTCACACTTATTTTCCAATAACTTTATGTTCATAGGTTGATGTTTATTTTCACTGTTCACTATGACTTTATAATTTTAACAAAAAAATCAATGGTAATGCCACTTAGTTTCATTCACCTATTGTAAGCTGGTTTGGATATTTAATAATTGGATCAAGAGAAGTTATGTATAGAATGAGTGTTCTTACATTGAACACACATTCTAAATGCCTAGAAACAAAGTGGTGATGCAAAGTAACCCTCACCTGCACAAATTTTCTGCAGTCCATATTGTATTCTTAAAAATTAATTACAAATGAAACTCATGATTAAATGTGTTCCTTCATACCTCTAGTACATAGTCATTTGACTTACAGAGATAAAAGTATTATAAGCAAGAACATAATATTCCAGGTCAAAAATGGTGTAGTTATACCCCATTTTATAGTGATGGTGATTCCAAAATTATAACAGTGTATAGTTGATGGTGACCCATGTAGTGGGGAACTAATTGTAGAACAAATATATGTGGGGGCTTATCAGAAGAGGCTAGGGTAGCTGTGTGCAAGGCTGCAACAGATGATAAGCTTGTGGGCAGAATGGGAAATTGACAGATAACATTCAGAATTAATTTGGTCTCCAATTCTTTGTGCTGATACTGAGGACTTCATAAGTTATTTGTCCAATTCTCATTAATCTTGCAGTGAAAGATATCAGCTACTTCACAGTGAATGTCTAACTGAATAGCAAAGCTGATGCTTGTATCAGCAAAAGTAAATGCCAAACAAAATATGCAAACACAAGGCAGGCTTTTCTCTTGAAGTTGAAAATGGATAAGACCCATCTAATGAGAGGCTGGGTGATCCCATACTACCATCAAAATGTCTACCTCGAAGCACAGAGCAAAATGATTTGTCTTGAGAGGTTGGCACTCATGTTTTATGTTTGAGAAGTTCTGATGTCAAATCTCAGTCTGGAGACTGACTATATTGACTGACGTGGTTGTGGTTTTCCTCAGTCCCTCCAGGCAAATATCAGGACCTTTAATTAGGGCATGGCCATTTTCTTTCATACCCTTCATTTCATTATTCATTAATCATGTTATTTGATGGTTTCTGACAGCATCATTAAACCACAAATATGTAAGTGAAAGCAGAGAGTTATTTAATTTGACATTGATAACCAAAGGACACATATGTTGGCCTAACAGTATTGAAGCATAGGATAGTGGATGTCTCTTGCAACTTCAGTTGTGGGAATAAGGAGGAAGTGCAAGTCCTCATGAGATTGTTTATAGCTCCAGGAAAATATGATGCATATCTACTCTGAATATAATAGTATCCATCATGTTTTACTGTATGAATGTGTAATTCATGCAGTTCAGAATAAATTTAAATGAAGTTCTGACAGTGAGAAGTCTGGTAACAAGAAATGCAAGTGAGGCTGTGGTTGTGTCTGACTGAGTCTGCATTTGGTGGGAGTCTAGAATCAGACAGTCAGTTTTGTGTTGTTGCATTTGATAGGAATCTGGCATCAATCACCGTGAAGATGTTTTTTACATTTAATTTACTTTATAAAGAAATTTAATAAACCTTGTATTTTCAGTAAAGTTTGAAAAGATAGCTGCCATAAATTGCATTACTGATCTTCACAGGCAACTGTCAGCTCTGACAGATTATTTATAATAGTTTGTTTCTTTATATTGGTTATCTTTGATGTTGTTTTCTTAAAAGTCTAAAATGTACTTCATTCTTGCAAAGAAGTGAACATGAAAGCTTTCCCCTATTCTGAACTACAATTAACATTTTGAATCCTAATGGGAATTACATGTAACACCTGCTTTAACAGTTGATAATTCTGTATTTTTCAGTTTCGGTGTGAATCTCAGAATACGCCAATTATTTCCTTAAACAGCATTAACTGACTGATCTTTGTATCCCCCCCCCTCCCAGTATGGACTGAATTCTTAAATATTACTTAAAAGAACTTCAACTTCAAAGGGTTATTCTGATTATGTCATGAGATGTTTTAAATTTTTTCTTTAAAGTAAAGAACAAAATTGATTTACTTTGTAACATATGTAAACAAGAATTATGTGGCTTAGGTTATAGGAAGAGTAATAAATCTATTTCACAGCATGTGGTATTATACTGTGATCCTTACTAAAACAACATATAATTACTTGAGTTATGATGATTTAATAAAATTGATACCAAGTATGCTTAATTATACCACCTGATATGATTTCTTTTTATTGACATAAATTCACTTAAATGCTGTGTTTGAGCTAAAAATAACTGGATCAGGTTTAATAAACATTAATAGAATTTTATGTCAGTGTATACATTCACACCCCGTTACAGCACCACAGTTTGTCACCACTAATATTGGTATTAAAGCAGGGCTGGTGGTAAATTGAAATTTATTTTTGAGTGTAAAGGAAAAGGTAAAATTACAGAGTAATACCTTTGTAACAGTGCCAGATGAGTACTGCATATGTATTCACACAAACACCCATTTAAACTGTGCAGTTATGTATTATTCCACAGTATGTTCCAGTATTTCTGTGAGGAACTCAAACCAAAAACAACTGGAAATGGATGCTGAAATATGAAGCTTGTGCATTTTTAACTGCTTCTGTCTTACTTCATGGCATATGTCATAAGGTTTTCAAAGAAACAAAAATTGAATAGGAGTGTAATTATAAGAAAGCTTTTTGATTTGCATTAAGAAGTGTTGTAAGTTACATCAAGTTTCATGGAAGGCTTTTTCTGTTGTCAATCAGCTTTTCATGTGAATGCTGCAATAATAGTGTGGTAATGACTATAAACTCCCTCCCCACATTGGTAAACAGTCTGAATGCTTCATATTGATCTTACAGTGTGCACTAAAATAATAAATAGTTACATTGCAGATGAAATTTATTAAGTAAATTTAATCATCATTTCCAGGGGAACTCCAGGGGAGGCAAATCCAACATGCACACCAGTGATGATCATTGGTGCCAATAATGTATTTGAAATTGATTGCTACTCTGAAGCCCTGAAGATTGGTGACAACAATGTCCTTGAAGCAAAATGTTGGTATAACTGGTATTTTGTTCCTGACACAAGTCATCTATCCACATTTCTTTACTGAAATCAGTTCTTTTGGGTACCTGCAATAACATGAACCGATTTCATGAGGCTTGTTCAAATGAAACCCTTTCAGAGATTATTCTGGGCGAAGGAGTAGAGACCATTACAAAAAATAGCCTCCATAGGCATTGAGGCAGGCATGTCATTAATTTACAGCCAGTGGATGTATGTACAGAGAACTCCCTGGGCTGTTATTATACCATTGTATGTCCAAGTATGTGGCCCTTTAGCACTTCTTCAGGGTCAAACAAATGGAAGTCTCGCAGTGACAGGTGTGGACTTTATAGGGGATCAGTGTGCCCTGGACAGTACAGCCCACATTGAGACTGGCGTCGGAACACAGTGACAATCTCTTGATGGCGATATGAAGTTTTTGAAGGGTTCTACAGTAGTGCTGTGCATTAATGGTGATGTCGCAGTCCTTGAATGCCACCATCAGTGATCCTTTTAGGATGGACACTGAACCTGAAATGGTGGTATTTAACCATGTGGCACTGTTCCCATTTGCTCTAACACACCTATTCTATTGCACATCTTGCAGTTGACTACTGATGTGTCATGCACACAGCAGCATGGTCACCTGTGAGCAGTCATATTTACTAGGAGTGCTGCAAATGAGGTTAATTTTTATAAATTAAAATATTTCTCTCATAGAATCTGTTTATTATACATTTTGGCATGAAAAATTGTTTTAACACCATTTATAGGTTTGAAAAATTACATTTTTAGCAGTGTTTGTTTTATCTTGTTGTAACTTATTCCATCTGTGCATTATGACACATCATCATTGCTTACTATTGCACTTTATAAAAATTTAAAAAAGAAAAAGAGTGATGTATGGCATATATGTAATTTATAATATATCATTGCTGTGCTTACTAAATGCCAGTGATTTTTCACTCTGAGGCAGTTTTATCACTTTTTAGTTGTTTCTCAAAGTGAAGAATGTAACTGGATGAACTAATTTTTGAGTTAACTCTGATACCACTGTCCCATTTATGCCATTTAAGTGGGTATCCATTGTATGTGACTCTTACTAGGCTCCTATAGCTGTAATGATAATACCTAATTAAATTTTCAGCTTTTGTTGGACGAGCAGTGGAGCTAACAAATGGATGTATTGTGGGTGCTGCATGTAAATTGTCATGTCCCGAAGTTGTTCCTGAAAATACTGTAATATTTGGCAGCAAGTGTTCACGCCGTCAGCAAGCTGATAGGCCACCAGTAAGTTGTATCAGCAGTCAATTACACCAATACCATACTTTTTATTTTTGCTGTACATTATATATACACCGCTGCTATTCCTGTTCTGTTGCAGATATCACCCACATATAAGTTATACTTCTTGGTTCAAATTTAAGAGACCTATATTCTGTGCAGTTTACTTTTGTTAGTGAAATCCTATAACATGTAACATCTTGTCATTGATATTAACAAATTTTTAACAATTCTCATTTTTGCGTTCTTTAAAATCTTTTAATTGTTCAATTTATTGATTGATATTGATGCATTTTATTGTTCATATCTTCATTGTGCAAATGAACATCTCATCCAATCACATTCTGAAATTGAATCTGCTCAGATAATCTTCATTCAGATATTTTTCATGATATATTGTAATATTATTCATTTTGTATACACTTACTCTAGTACCAGGAGACTCAGCACTGATATTACCAAAGATATGATCCTGATTTTCTTGCGTCCACATTATATCCTCACAGTCAACCTCCCTATGATCCATCTTAAGGTTATTCTCCAGTCTCCTTATTGGTTTTCCAAGTAAACGTCTACAAGAGGTTTCTCCAACAAATTTATGTATGCATTCCTTGTCTCTGCAATCCAAGCTATGACAAGTCACCTGCAACTTGTAAAGTTAATTCTCTTTACAATACCAGGAGTAGATATTATTGGTCTCCAATATTATCCCAAGTTCAACAACTGATAGGGACAATCACATCTATAAAGTGAACAGAAAATTATATTTGGCTATGGAGACATACACTGTAGAAACAGTAGAGGTTGAGCTTAAGTGTGTGGATTGTATGTGCAGAGAAAAGAATGCAGTAAACAGACAAGTGTGAACATTGATTGCTTCATAGTTTCATTAGACATTCAAGTATTTGGGGCCTCAGTTTGAGGTATCAAATCATGCACACACCAACAGAAATATTGCAGGTGTGCCAGAGTAGCTGGTTAACTGTTTATTGATAAAATTAATCTCAAACTCTGTGTCTATGGTGTAATGGTTATGTAACCATCTTAATTATAGTATAGATAAGAAGAGGAGCTAACAAATATATGTATTGTGGGTCCTGCACATAATTTGCCATGCCCAAAAGTTGTTCCTGAAAATATAATACTATAATATTTGGCAGCAAGTGTTCACGTTGTCAGTTGTATTAGCAGTCAATAATACCAGTATCATACTTATTATTTTTGCTACACATTACACCTCTTCCACTTTTCCTGTTCTCCTGCAGATATCACCCACATATGAGTTACACTTCATGTTGCATGCGTCTGTGTGTCATAGCTTTATTGTTGTAAGAAAACTGAAAAGTGTTATTTTCTTCCCAGCCACAAACATTGCAGTTAGACTACTTAACCAAAGTTCTGCCAAACTACCATCATCTAAAGAAACCTCCAAAGAAGGTCAGCAATGCATAAATTTTGTACTGTAATATGAATTTATCTTGTAGTAAAATTCCTGTATCAGCTTAAAGCAAGAATATTTCTTATTATTAAAATATACCATTTGATTGTACATTTAAACTGATGACCAAAGTATTTACAGAGAATCAAGTGGAGTCAATTTATATCCTGCTTGTTTCCATCCTGAAAGGTAATTAATTTATTTTTTTCATTTATGTAAAGTTTGGGAACAGTTTCACATAATTATGAAGTTCATACAGTAATTTGTAATATTAAGTGGAACAAATATAATTTGTAACAAAAGAAGCCTTTTTACACATTAAGAAAGAGTTGCTTAATGCAAAATTAACATTGTTCAACCAGACTTCGCAGTTTCCCAAATTATTAATATTCCATATTATGGTTAAATGTGTTCAAACCTGATTCCATTTATTTTATTCTTACCTAGAGGACATTGCCTTTCTGAACTTTTCAGGTGGCAACAAGTATATTAAGAATCTCATTTACAAAAATAGCCAAAAAAATTTGTAAAGTTGTTCCCAAGACTCATTAGTCACATTGACCCCTCTTGATCATCTAAAGGTTAACAATGTGAAAAGTTATGAGGATGAGTGAAGTGTGCAATTGTGTGAAAAGGAATTACTAGACAGAATACTGAATAAAATATTCGTTAAAATACTGCTTGCATATAATGAACATTTTTAATGTAAAACATATTCAGATTGGTAATGTGATGGTTAAGATTGTGGTGAATCTGCTTTTCGAAACTTCACTTGTATTTGATTTGAAAGGTTAAAAACACATTAAATGATAAAATATTGGAATATTGCTTTATCAGTAGGAAAGAAAACATGGTTAATATTTTGTTTCAGTGCAATTTTGCTTCATATTCATAAATACACTTGAACTACTCCTGATGGTAGCACACACAATCATATAGGCCATGTATTAGTAGATAATAGAAGACAGACAAGTATAATTGATGTGAGGTCATTCAGAGGAGCAAATGCCAATTCGTTTGAACGTTTGGCCTTGAGCTTTGTTGATAGTAATTACGAAGGCAAGCGTTACAGGGAATTGGCGTCTCCACATGGTAAATGGGTATTTGCTGGAATGATCTCCCGTTATGATCATACATTGAAGGAGGTTGTTGGTCATATGCTTTACTAATAAACGTGTTCCGTTAACTAATCCTTCCGAAACTCTTAAGTTACGAATCAACATGACAATAGCGTTCTTACGTAGTCGCAAAGTTTATGGGAGCAATGAGTGGTCGCAAAGTGTTTAAGTATTCGGGTGTCACCATTACACTGAACATTTCTTTGTCCGAGTCTTCGACACCATCAACGCTTGAGTAGATTCGCTCAGTGTTTTCATCAAGTAAGTCAACATGGCATGCCGAAAGCAGCGACCATTGCCATTACGTCTTAGTACAGTTGCAACATGTAACGTGGCGATGCAACAAACGATGAGTTCAAAACTTTAATGTGCCCGAGTTCCTCATGTTAAACGATCACGAACTTTAGCATTTGTTGCGAAAATATTGGAGAGAAAAGAGTTTTCTAAGTTCATCAGGGCATTCAGGCAACGAATCACGCACAACCTTTCCATGTGCACAACAATCATAAAACGATTTACTGGAACGTTGAGTCGATTCATCAAACCAGTGAAACGCTTTGCAATGAATACATTCATTGTTCATAGGTCCGTGATAATGTTGTTGATGTTCGTCGTTGTTAAAATGTACTGCTATTGGCAGTCTTCCTTGGTTCTTCATTACTAATTTACTTTGATGTTTAATACTTTCTTTTTCAGCGTGTTTTTTTATCTTTGCTCTTCTGTTCTTGTTGAATAAGTTTTTCTACGTGTGTTGTTAATATGGTCTCGTTTATCAGTGTAAGTCTTCTTTCGCTTATCCTTATTTGTTAAATAGATCTGATGTTTTAGTTCTTTACATCGCTGTTCAGAGGCCAACTGTTCTTGGTCAGTCAACTTTCTATGTCCAACTCCACCCTTGCAAATCTTTGTCTTAAAATCGACCATAAAGTCAGTTTTCGTAATCGTAATATATCGAATGAGTAGTATTATTAGTATCAGTTTACCTTGTTGGTGTTGGTACTTCAAATAGTTGATAGCGTCTTCTTTCACTCGCTCAAATCTTCATTTTCAAGAATGGGATGTGATGCTTCTGGAGCAGTGATCATGCGACTGTCTTGGTAGTTGGTGAAGCGTCATTTGTTTGCTCAGCATTGTTGTGTTGGTATACCAACACAACACTGCCGAGTAAACAAATGACGTAACATTGTTTGATGACGTCATTTTTTGACGACGACGGGGAATGAGAAATTTTTATAGTAGAAGAAGATAAAGATGATGAAAGTATGGATATCAAACATTCTTCTAGCGAGATTATCTCCATATGGGGATGAAATTATTGGGGATCATCAGTTTTTGGGTTCAGACGTAACATAACAACAATTGATCAGATCTTCTGCATCAGTCAGATACTAGAGAAAAAATGGGAATACAGTGGGACCATACACCTATTGTTTATAGATTTCAAAAAAGCCTACAACTTTGTACAGAGAGTTATACAATATTCTCATTGAATCTGGTATACCAGAAAAGCTAGTGAGTCTAATAAAAATGTGCTTAAATGAAACCTGTAGCAAAATTTGTATAGGTAAATATTTATCTAACTCAAGAACAGTCTGAAAACAAGGAGATGCTTAGTCTCCATTGCTCTTTAACTTTGCGTTAGAGTATGCCATCAGGAAAGTCATAGGCAAGAGGGTTTGCAATTGAATGGGACACATCAGCTATTGGCATATGCTGATGATGTTGACTTATTGGGTGACAATATAATTACAATAAAGAAGAACACAGAAGTTTTACTAGAATCTAGTAGAAAGGTGGGGCTATAAGTAAATTCAGAAAAACTAAGTACATGTTAGTATCCTTTCAGCTGATAGGTGGCCAAAATCATATTAGGTTGGCTAATAAATCCTTTGAAAGTGTGAAAAAGTTAAAATATTTTGGAACAACAATAACAAATCAAAATTATATTCATGAGGAAATTAGGAGGATACTAAATTTCAGAAATGCTTGCTACTTCTCAGTTCAAAATATTTTGTTTTCCCATCTGATTTCTAAGAACCTAAAGATTAAAATATACAAAACAATAATTTTGCCTTTTGTTTTGTATGGGTGCACTCTAAGGGGGGAACATAGATTACAGAGGTTTGAGAATAGGGTGTTGAGGAGGATATTTGGGCCTATGAGAGAAGAGGATGAGGTATGGATAATACTGCATAATGATAAGCTTAATTTGTACTCCCCCAATACTGTCAGGGTGATCAAGTCAATGAGATGGGCAGGGCATGTGGCGTGCATGGATGGGGCAAGAGGTGTGGGTTGGGTATTGGTCAGGAAGCCTGGAGGGAAGAGACCGCTGAGGAGACCTAGATATAGATGGGAGGATAATATGAAGCAAGATCAGTAGGAGATAGGAGTTGAAGGTGGCTAAATTTTGTTGGCCCAGGACAGGGACCAGTGGAGGGATTTGGTTAATTCAGTGATGAACCTTTGGGTTCTGTAAGCCATCTAGTTAGTAAGTGGATATCAATAGAGAGTGGGAAAATGTAAGAGACTATATCAAAATTTTAGCCAAAGAGAAACTAGGATACTATGGGAGAAAGCAAAATGAACCATGATTTGATGAAGAATGTTCAAAATTAATAGATTGAAGGAAGCAAACAAAATTTCAGTGGTTGCAGAACCTAAACAAAATGAATACAGATAATTATGTAATGTGAAGCTAGTAGAACCTTTATGAATAAGAAAAGGGAATATCTGAAAGGCAAAATTATTGAGCTCAAAACAAATGGTAAGGACAAAAATATGTACAGAGGCATAAATAATTTTAAAAAAGGATATCAACCTCAATTTGGTAAAGGAAGATGGTGGCACCTCACTGACAGGTCCAATCAGAATTTTTATTAGGTGGAGAAATATCTATCTAACTATAAATCTGAATGTATGATGAATCAAACATGGATATGTTTCTTTCTACTATTTTATTAGGTCTGTTTTAATGGGAAAGGCTACAGTGATTTCTGTGTGACAAGTTGCAACTTTATTTCTATAATTTAATTATTTTTTAACTTTGGAAATATATCATGACAACATTGTTAATCTTGGAGTTGTATGATGCATAACAAGACATAGTTGTATGGTGTATGTTGCATAGAAATAAACTAAACAGGGTGTATGAAGTATGTAGGTGTAACTATGTTTTTACGTATTTTTAGTTTCAGTTGAATATCTGTTCAAATTATATAAAAACTGAAAGTACTAGAATATGCTGTAGATGAGTCGAATTTCTTCCACAAGAGCTTTAATAGAAGATAAAGGCAGGTAAGTGATGGCAGAAAGTGTTTTGTTTAATCTGTTGTTGACTTTAACTCAGGGGTGGCCAATGTTTTTGCAAGTGGGCCAATAAATAGAAACAAATCTTCTGACGTGCTTAATTTTAAATTAGTAGATAAATAAATAGAAATTGATGATAGAACATTAAAATGCACTGTATTCAACTGAATGGTGAACATGCCAATGAATTTACATTAAAAAATGAGGATTAGTCAGATTTAAAAAATGTTGTGTTTAAGTTAACAATTGCTGATTATTTGGATTGAGTTTTGTGGTCGAGAACAAGTATACTCCCTCTAACAGCCTGTTAACGTAGATTTATGTGATTTTTTTAACAAAGTTCTCACAAATGTAAATTAACCCATTTTTATGTTCTGGATAGTCCCATTTAGAAAAAATTCCAGTAGGATTACATGTTTGGAGAAACTGGTGAGTCACTAAGCTGAAAATTTCCAGTACATTCTGAATGTCTGCAATTTCCAGTTAGATTTTATATGGATAATTCACTTAAATGGAGAGTATTGAGGTTTCTAATTTCAACTTCAAATATTTTTAACTTTGAAGATGCTTATCTGCTGGGATATGGTCCCCTGTATTGCGGTAGATACATGTTTCAGAACATCTTTCTGCCTCTATCATCCCAGTGATGAATACGCTGATAATGGAGGCAAACTACATGGTGCTATATCTCAGAGGACAGACATCCTCATGTTCATTGCTGAGAAAACCTCATATCTCAACTCTTCGAACACTGGGAAATTAACATTCTTCACTTTTATACTAGTACTGAGAATATTAAGTTAGGATGTAATGTCAACTTCAGCTAAATCACTCAACCATACATTGCTTTTCAGTAGGTCATACACCTTGAAGAAACATGCCACCATCTTCCCTATGGGCACAGCAATCCAGCAGCATTCCTCTGTTCAAAGTTTCTGATTAAGGCCCTGTACCCTAATCTTGGTCTTGGTCCTTGAAGCCAATTGCTAATTATATTTGTAGCTCAGTCAGTATAGTGACTGGCTACAGACTGGACAAACGGGGTTTGATCCCCCACAGGGGCAGAGGATTTTTCCTCTAGCCCCAAGTGCCTACATGGTATATAGTGGGACAGGTTTACTTTTACTTTAGCTGCTTTTAAAAGTCAATAACTACACTTTATACGTATGGTTTTGCTTAATTCTCAGTATAGACCAATTCCATGGACATCAATAACCAGCTGATATTTGTAGTGGTTCAATATGTTTTCCTT